TTATCATTTTTTTTATAACTTCCAAAAAAATAGATTTCCAGTTTAACGTTGACAAGTTATTAACCCCCAATTATTCCCCAAAAGAGCTCTTTAGAGGATAGGAGGATTTCTGATCGAAACATAACCTAGGCAATCTATTTAGGAATTTATTTTCATGCTACTTTGAATGATCACCTATGATTGTGATATAATTTACTCAAAACCCAAACATATATTGATGTATTGGTCACAAGACCTATCGTTTTGAATTTTTTCACTGGCGATTCGCCTTTGAATTTGATATATGAAAGAAAAACTCCGTGTATTCTTAATTGATTTTTTTATGTAAAAGATTTTATTTATTTTGTTCAACCCATATTAGACCTTTTTTTTGTTAAACGTATTTTTTTATTTAAATTTCTTTTGTGTTAAAATTAGTATAATTAGTATTAGTGAATATGATTTAAATATAAGGATTTTTGATCGAAATGATGAGGTGTTAGTAATTTAAAAATGGAGGATTGAAGACGAGGTAAGTGATGTGATGTGGGCGGGTTGTGGGATCACATAAGGAAAGACAAGGAAGATTGTGATCAAGGTTGGGTGGGCAGAACATTGGCCATCAGGTGTTGGTTTCCATAATGCAGTGAAGTATTTGGTTGTAAGTGTTTTTGAATGTTTGCTAGAAAAAAAAAAACTTGTTGCGTGCCTCATTTAGGACAGAAGGGTTGGGACTACACCCTGGAGAAAAAGACGGCTCAGTTAGTCGGAGTCATTATGCATCTGTCCGCAGTCCAAACAGAGGTGCACGTAACACATTCCTTGGCAATATCTGGTTCAGCATGCATAGGATTTCCAATGGCATTTTATTTGTTGTTTTCCAGTTAAAAATTTGCTAACTATCATTTATAATATTCTAAATCGTCATAGAATAAGTATTGTGTAAATATTTTTCATAAAAATATTTATTACTTATGTTTTTGTAGTCAGCTCCCTTTGAATTCAGCTCCCTATTCCCAATAATCCAGAATACCTAATTTTTCCCAAAGCGGATTTTTTCGCTTTCGAACTTCATTCAGAATAAAGCGAAAGCGAGAATGCGAAAATGCTGTTCAGAATAAGTCGAAGGGGAAGAGCGAGTAAATTCACGTGGAACTGACATCCAGAATAAGGCCATATAGTTTTTGTCCAAGGTGTATTTAATAAGGTGTATGCATCAGATACAACAACAAATATTTTACAAAAACAACATTGTTGTTATAGAAATTAAATTGTCATGCTGACAACCAGTTTTTGACAAAAATAAACAAAAACAATTATTAATTTATTTTTGTCAAGAACTATTCTTTAAGGAATAATTAATGAATTTGTGTATTCTTGGGTTATTGGCGGTTTAGGTCAGTGAAAAATAAAGTTTAAGACCCGGTCGCGATTAATTTTAAGTTTCCCACATACAGCCCAAGGCTCCTTGTGATGTTGTTTTCTTGCCTTCTTAAAGAAAATTGAAAGACATAAATCCCCGGCCAAAGACTAAAGGACTAAGCAGAATGCTCGCGTTGAACCATCCGTCGCGTTATGTGTTACCGAAAATACAACAACCACAAGGAAACGATAACACCAACGCTTGATGTGCGTTATACGTCAGAGTTAAATATAATTTAACTTTAACTCAACGCGAACATTCTGTTTAGCCCTTAAATCATGGAAATAGTGTTGACGGTTTAAAGTCTTTCCATAGGCGTATTTAACCTTCGCCGAGAATTGTGACAAGCACCAAGGGGCCGATTCCAATATAATCCCCTCGATTTTATGAGTATCATGAATTTATGGACAGATTTCCACACATAACATAAAATATGTGGACCATTCGGCGAACGGGGTTATAACTGATTTAAGCCTAGGTTTCTTTTCCGTCCGCCTCATGAATGTAGTTTTCTTGAATTTATATTACTAAAAAATCCTAAATTTAAAGACAATTTTTGAAATCGAAATGTAATATTGAAAATGTTTTTGACAATCTGCTTTACAAACAATAAAGAAAAAAGTTTAAAACCATATACACCTTGTTTTTGTCCATTTAATTTGTGGTAAATATAGCTGAATATACCTCGATTTACCATACATTTAATCCACTCAATATCTCGATTTGCTCTAAACCCGATGCTAAAATGAGACAATTTCAAATACAAACCTGTTTTTGTCCCAAAAAATAATCGTTTCTTCTATGAAAACATTGATTAAAAAATTGCCACAGAAATCATGGAATCAGTGAAATGTGACAAATCAACTTCATTTCATTTTAATATTAATCTAAATCCTTCGGATTTGATATATCAATTGACAAATCGTGTCGATTTAGATTTAGAAGGCATAGTCTAAACTCTCCATTACAACAGGTAAATTAATAGCAAATTAACCGTTAAAACTGACTTTTTATTTATTTTTTAATTTAAATCTATAACTTCTCAAGAACGTTTCCTTAAAATTTTAATTGAAAATCTCAACTACTATTGTGGATATAGTCGGTTTACTTGGTCAGCTTTAAGCGACGGCATGGCGGGTACGGTAATACGGCATTTACATTAGAACTTTTTACCGGGTTAACCTACTTCATGAGGATTTATTTGACATATATTCAAAGGAATTGAAATTTTAAACCCACTGGGTTGACCAAATCCGGTACAATGTAAACGACCTTTAACTCAACTAATAATCCAATCCGTTCAAAATCTATGTCCCGTACACAAAAAGGAGACAAGACGATATGTGCCAACTATAGAGTGACAAGTGACAACTATAGAGTGACAAGTGACAACTATAGAGTGACAAATCATGTCTGCGTTGGACATTCCTGCAAAATTAATACGGCTATGCATGGTATCAACGCGCAAGACGTCCAGTAGACTCGAACTACAGCATCGAGGAAGTCAAAGATTTTATATGCCATAAGTAAAACTAATGACATCAGTTTTGAAATTCGTACGCAAGCAGTTTAGAAACAAGGTCACTTTCCTTTCGGCCATATCAAATTCAAACTCTACAAGACGCTGAAAATATCCGTGCTGTTATATGGATCTGAAGCATGGGTACTTTGGCAAGCAGATGAGGCAGCACTTAGAGTGTTTGAGAGAAAAATTCTCCGAAAGATCTACGACCGACCTGCGTTTAAATCGAATGACTATAAGCTGTACCATATTTTCTCGGACATCGACATTGTCAGACATATCGAGCTGCAGCGACTACGTTGGCTAGGTCATGTGAAAAAGGATGAGGATATCCCTGCTCAAAAGGCATACAAAAGCGAGCCAGCTTATAGAACAAATGTTCTGTCACAAGCCATCTAAGTAAGTTGACTTAATATAATCCACCACTTGTAGGACCGGTAGGGCTTCGAACGTTTAAGAGTATGTACAGACTGGACATAGAAGTAGAAACTCGTCCACCGGTAAATACCGATGTCATCTTTTGTCATAGTTACTTCCAGCACATATGAAACACAGTTCAAATGCTCAGAATTGCGATAAAGAGCCACCACAATACAACCCCTTGTACACATGGATGAAAACACATTTGCAAATATCATACAGTAATATACAAGAAGTTGAGTCCTGTGGTGAAGAGTTTGTATAATGTATAATTAATTCTGACACCACAAAATATTTGTAATTGTGTATTTGTAGTATAATTTAAAGCGGAATTCAAAATAAAACACTCATATTAATTTTGTGATGTATTGAAATTTATTGTTCTCTTTTTTATTTAATTTCTATTTCATTTATTAAAATACTAAATTGTATGTATCGCTATTATTATCAATGACCAAAAAATATTAATATTCAAAATAAATATGCAAATACCACACAATAAAAATGTGATTATTCTTTTGTTATTATTGTTGATAGATGCTTATTTAATTTTTTGTAGTATCAACCTGCATTGACTTAGTTGCAATTAGTTTTCTCTGTTTATCTCATTTTCAGCATTTCTTTATTAAATGTTTATATGGTAAATTCTATTCTATTACAAAATATCAATGCAAATATGTTTTTTTATTTATTTTGTTTTTTATTATTTCTCTTTGTTAAATTGTAACAAAACTAATTTCTACATAAAAATATATTTTTAAAATTATGCATTTAACACAATACACTTTAATATGTATATGATTATAATGGAATGTAGTAACACGTTTTCATTGAAAAGAGGAAACGTCATCATTGAAATACGAATAACTGCTGTGGTGAGTGTAGGGACAGAAAGAAAGAGGGAGAGATGTGTCGAACAAAAAACGTGTATACAATGTAATTGTTTTAAAATTAAAATACAAAAAATGTTATATTCGATATTGGACTCAAACATATAGCTCGCTCTGCACAACACAAACATATTTCTTATTTACAAAACAAAGTTGATATTTTAGAATATATATTTTTTGGATGTTTTTTTTTTTTCGTTTCACATTAATGTTTTGCATGAGCATATATTCGCTGTTACTTATTAAAGTGTATAAGTAGAAAACACTTAAAACTTAAGAATAAATGAAATTTATAACTAAAAAATACTAAATAATGGACGGTATAAGAACTGAAAAAAGTCTGTATGTTTCATTTTCCAAATTAAAACAAACATTTGTATAAAGTTTCAGAGAGAGATTTCGTTTTTTCGATTGTGACATTAAGAAAAAAAAACTTAGAAATACAAAAACTGAAAATGTTTACAAATAATAAAAAATGCAAGCAAAATTAAGTGTCGTTTTCTGCAAAATAATTGGCAGTGTCGTATTAAAAAATGATCAGCATTTACGAAGACTTGTTTGGTTTTTTATCATTTCATAATCAACTTTATAAGGCCAGCTTTGTTGTTTTTTGTCATCGTCGTTACTGTTTTTTGCTGTACTTTGAAGTACAAAATCATTTTGCTTGATAACAGTTTATATTTTAATGGACAGTTTTTCAAGGGTTTTCAGTTTCCAATTTTGAGGCTTTTCTCTTCAGTTTTTGAATTAGATAGATTGGTGTTCTGTTTTCGTTTTTACGAGACCTACTACGTTGACCACTCATCGACATGTGGCATTTCAAACTATATGAACCATTCTTTTCGTTTGGTCACTTGATGGCCGGTGGTGGAATGTACAACGGCCTCATCAGGATCGTCGGCACCATCAGCTCCTTGATCTTCATGGGTGAGGTAGTCACCTTTGTGTCTGTGCAAGTAACGGCCAATTAAGAAGACCATCAATATCAGCAATAGGAACAGAATGATGAGAAGGACTGAAAAGTGGGAAATTATAAATTATGGGTATACAATGAGGTTATACTTCGAAATAATCCCCTAACGAAAGGCGGGAAATTAAGTTTAAGTTTGTCAATGCTCTAAAATCATGGAATCTACTTACTTGCCAACAGTGCTGTATCAACTTCATTGTACGCTTTACGAAGTTTCTCCTCATCAACTAGTGGTGGTGGTCTAGTTTCAATTTCGACGGGTGGATGTGTGACGGGTTCAACACCACAAAAATCTTCAGTTAGTTGAGCTGCAAAACAAAAGAAATAAATTATCACACACAATTATAAACAACTTCAATTCAACTTACATCCCAATGATTTAACATTTGGTGGTGGATTCTGTTGGAACAACAATTTCAAAGGATAAATATCATCGAATTGTACACGCGATACACAGCCAACGAAGCCATCAGTCATTGAAAGATTTTTACCAATATACATATACTGGATGTTATTGAATTGTGCATCAGCCGATGCTTTGATATCGAAATTATATTCTACCGGTTCGTAGTTGTCGACTTGTAAAACCACAGTGGAGCCACTATTTTTTCGAGAAAATCGTACATCATGATATTGACCAAGACCGAAATGTTTTTTGGGGAATATAATTTCTTGCCGTTCGAAACCGAAATCGAAAACACAACGTAAATGGCCTGTGAATATTGAACAACAATTAGTAAATGATAAAATTGCAATTGCAAATTATTCCGACTCACCCGAATTAGAAATTTGTATGGTCAAATATTCGCCAGTAATATTTGATGAAAAACCCAATAAGAAACCTTTGGGAATTGTTGTGGTAAAACCTACACGAATATTTTCGGCAATTGTCGAACGGAAGGATTCAATAAATTCATAGCGTATAATTGAGTTACTACGTAAGTTAACACCAATTTCTGAAAAGAAACAAAACAAAATTAATTACAATTCCAAATTAAATCTATATGAGAAATAATTTACCATCAGCACATATTGGTCCTTTAAAGGCACTCCAACGGCAATCACAATTATAGCCATCGTAACGCTCAATACATGTACCATTGTTGAGGCAAGGATTCGATTCACAACGTCCCACACAGCCCGAGGAGATGCCATACATGCCACGATCGCCAAATTGTTTCAAATCGACCATTTTTCCATTTAACAATAAAGCGCGTATACATCCAACATAACCATCACGATATTCTGTGGTAGCACCAATAACCAAATCCGATGTCAAATGGAGAGCACGTACGGGACCTGGTGGTTCACGTACTTCTGCTTTTATGGAGCCATCCACCACCAAGCGTGCTTCTTTTCTGCAAAGAAACATAATGCGTTCAGTTGAATTATATAATGTTACACTATCGAAAATATCCACTTCATTTCAATATGAATCTTACCTATTACGTTCCACACTAACGGTATGCCATTCATTGTCATTCAAATGGTAACTGGTGCCAATATTAACACCTAACGGACCACTGCCAGCCTGGTATTGGAATTGCAATTTATTACCGCCGGATATAGTCAACTTTATGTAATCCGTTGGTCCAGTGGCATGGAAAATAACAGCATTTTCTATGGTGGTTTTAAATTCCAAATAAATATCACCCGAATGTCCCATATCGAAGGGTGGCAAATTAATTGTGGCATCAGCAATACGGAATGTCACCACATTGCTAAACAAATCATCGCCTTCACAACGTAATGGTCCCAAAGTATAACGTCCCTGTTTCTCATCCAGTGGAGTACCGGTGTCGCCAAATTTAACCGCTCTCACGGGTAAGTATTCCTTTTCTCGAATATCACCACCATCTTCGGCCCATTCTAAGCTATTCGAATCACAATTACACCATTTGGTGGGATCTTGACATTTACCCAAGATACCACATTCACATTTACGAGAACCGGGTAAGGCTCCGGCCCAGTAGTCCATTGGTTGATTGTGTCGCGATACCCACCAAGAGAAGGGGCGGAAATTGGATACCTCAGCTAAAAAGGAAGTCGATTTTAAAATTATAATATAAACATTGGAATTTAATGCAATTTTATACTTACATGGGGAATTAAATAGGCGCGATGATCGACACGAATAACTTAAACGTTGCCAGCATGTGTGTGAACGATTGAGTAAAGCTTCAATTTGTTGCATATCTGCATCGTAGAGTATATTTTGTTCAAATGATCCAGGCTCTTGGAAACCATCTACTGTAGTTGTATGCTCTTGACTGTGACTCAACGTGGTTATGACACGACCATCGGCTAAAAAGAGGGAAATTGTTTTTGTAGTAAAATTTGGAAAAGTTAAAAAATTATTTATCCAAATTTGTAAATGGAACAAACTAAAATATCGATACTTTTGTCGGGAAAATCTACTATAGAGTAAAACATCTTCAGATTGACGAAAGTTGGATGCTTAATCATTACAAAAGAACTGTTGCATAAACAATAAATTCGGTCAAATGAAAGAGCGGCCTGTATTAGAATTTGTACAATGTCAGGAATTGATTCACAGACCTGATTCCATATTTACTTCTTATTCATAGAAAGAGAGCGAGACTATTTTCGGAGGAAATAAGACGTGCATTGAACACCTAACTGATTTTAAGCTTTTTAAGATTGGAAATGACACTGGTATAAATGCATAACGTCTAATGATCATAAAAATACAATATTTGTATTATTTTTCGAACATTTTTCATAGATTTCCCACCCATCGAAATGAACTCCCTGTCACTTATTCCTCTTTCGTTTTTTCTTTTATACTTACTATAAAATTCGCATGTAACAGGGAATGGTTTCAAAGGTCCGCTACCATCAACATCAATTTTGGTTGATACCCTTGATGAGACATGTTGAACATTTTTGAGAGCTTGACAGGAAAGAGGATTATTAGCTGCAAAAAGAAAAAAAAATAATATTATAAATTCCCATACATCACACCATCTCAAATACACTTACATGTATGACATACAGCACCAGCATAACCGGTATTTTCACAATCACAGAAGAAATCTGTCGAATCTTGATGACAATGACCATTGTGTTGACATGGATTTGGATTACAACGATCAATCATTTGACATGCATCGACAACAACCTCATCGCCACAGCATACCTCATCCCCTTGCACCCAATCTTTGGGTAATTTATAATTGCCATCGACCAAGATCAGGCGCATACAACCAACAAAACCGTTATTTTTCTCCACACCTCCAGCAATGTAATACAAACGGCCCGTTGATATTTGTATATTCTTCGTCGTGGCCATTGGACGTTGATCGATATCCAACACCAGGCGATTACGTTGTATCGTCAAAATAAATGCATGCCATTTGCCATCGTTGAACTTCTCATCATAGTTGTCCAAGATGATGCGTGGCTTTTCTGCCAACTTGAGGTCGACTTTCACTTTACCCTTTTCCAAGAAAACGCGCACATAACCACCACTGGCGAACTCATGATGCAACATCATGCCATCATTTTCATAGGTACGGAAATAGAAGGACACATTCAACGATTTCTGTCCCTCATAACCCTTTAGGCGTACAAAGGAACCGCGAGTTGTGAAGGTAACCGGGTATATGGGTGGCGATGGACACGCATAGACAGTATTAATTTTACTAAAGCGATAGAATTCTCCACGTTCGTGTTGATCTTTCATTTCTCGTATAAAATTTGTAGAATTAAAGTAGATATTTTCCATGCAGCCAGTGTAGTTTTGTGTCACATAAATGCCTTCTTGAATGTTGGGTACACCGCCCAAATACAATTCACGATTTAAATTTAAACGACTGAATTCACCCTTGATGCGGCCACGAACTATGACACGATCAACGGAAAAGATAATATCACGACGATTACGCGATATAACAACATCATGCCAAACATTATCGTCTAAGAGACTGCCGACAGACAGGGAGGTCATAATGCCACCACCCAAATCCAAATTCAATACCATTTTATTTTCCATCAATTGTAGGGCGAAATAATCACCCTGAGTACCGCGAGAATACATCATGATTCCGTTGGCGTTGGCAGTTTTGAAACGGAAACGTATCGATTCGCGAGTTGAGGCAATTGGCTCTTGCATTAGATTGTAACGTATCAAACCCGTTCCGTTGAAATATAAATTTTCAGCAACTGTAAGAAAGAAAATGCAAAAACAACATTGTACATTTAAAATATTAAAAATAGAAAATAACATTTTGAAAACCTACCATAATCACAACCATAAAGTTCAACACGCATTGAAATTCGATCATGCCAACGTGTTGGATTAATTCGTATCCACTGAGCAATAATTGGTACCTCGAATACATTGTAATGTATTGAATTGCCATCGGAGTTGCCTTTGAACATCTAAATGGGAGGAATTTAAAAAATAAAACAGTTAAATATATTTTCAAGAAAAACCCCATCAAACACAAAACCCAAATATACTATATGTTTTAAATGATTACCATAACCTTTATATAAAAATAGTGTTAATAATCCCTTAAACCTTAGTATCCATTTTATCATTTGGAGAAACGAAAAAATAAAATTAAATAAGGAACAAGTTTATATGTGTTAGGAGCTTTGGAAGAATTTGGCCATGAAAAAAGCTGGACAACTTAGCTGTGTAACGCTTCCCTAAATTAAATCAATGAGATGTCTAAAGTTGGTATAAGGAAAATAAAGTACGGTTCAGGCTGTTTAGAATGCAGACTGTAGTAGTTCATGGCTAAGTCTAAGGTCTCAGTCTCATAAGACATACATCAGTTCCCCATGCGACATCTACATATGTTTCGGCTAAAATATTACGATTTATGTTATTAAAAAAAGTGAATCCGAAATGCACAGACTTTGAAACTTTCCCTTCAATTTAAAAACAGTCAAGAAAGTTCAAAAGTCGGACGGGACAGACTATGTACTACCCTTCCTTAAGAGCATCTCTGTCCAGCGTACAATATTCAATCGATAGAACAGGGAGTTTTGTCTAAATCTGAGCCGAATTAAACCAACATTTTGTCTCAATCGGACAAACTTTCGAAGTTTGGTGCTACATTAACATAAAATTGAACGAAAAGATATATATGGAGCTATATCTAAATCTGAACTTTACATAGGATAATCATTACTTAATTCAGGACGCTTTGTAAAATGTTGTACCAATCGGACAAACTTTGGATATTTGGTGCCCCATTTACATAAAATCGTACGACAATATATATGGGAGCTATATATAATATATAAGGAACTATATATAAAGCTATATATATATCAATAAAATGTTACGAAAAATATATATAGAATAGAATATATAGAAATTTGGCGCAATCGGACGATTGTTGCGCCAATTATAAAAAATCCGACAAAAATATATATGGGAGCTATATCTAAATCTGAACCGATTTCAACAAAACTGCGCAAAATATTGTCGGAATTGGACAAACCTAGAGAGAGAGCTTGGTGCATCATTTTTGTAAAAATCGGACGAGGATATATATGGGAGCTATATCTATATCAGCACCGATTTTCTCCTATTTCAATAGAAGTGCCAAATTGCATCTCATTCGGATCAGGAATGCGACCTGTACTTTCTTTACAATTTAACACGGACAGACGGGCGAAAAGACAAGTATAAATCGACTCAGAAAGCGATTCTATAGATATTCTAAAAAGAAAGCATGGGTATATTTCGCTGCCTTTTGACTGTTACAAACATAAGCCCTCTAAAACAGTTTGGTGAAGTTTATAAACATGAAATCGGAGCATCTATAAATTCGGATGCATGTCGGAAGCACTTCTACTGGAAGAAAATGCTAATCGGATGAGGATATACTGGGGCATACACATGGCTATCCTCCTTAATACTTAAAAAGAGACACAGAGCAACAATGATTCAGATATGAGCTTTGCCTGGATAATTACACTAGAACTAAAAAAAATCAAAATGGCAAGGATCAGGATACTGTGTAGTCTGGGATAACGTGTAGAAACAAACTCACATATAGAATTATTACTTCACCATTGCAAAATGATATTTGAAACTGGAATGAATATCTTCTAGAAATCAAATCCCAACTTAACAAATAAGATTGTATGGTCATAAACTCTGATGTCAAACAAGGAGGGTGTGCTGTGATGGCTATAGATCAGAAAAATTACCTAATGTAGACCTATAGTTATAGACACCAAAATTCCTTCATATTTTTATATTCAAACAAAAATATCTTTATAATATAGGGACGAACACAGCAAAACAAACTTAAAAAAACAATCAAAACGAAAATATTAAATTTTTCTCTTTTTTTCGTTCATCATTTAAAAACAATAACAATTACCTGTGGCTCACTTGATGGATTAACATAGGAGCGCCAATATTCACCATCATCGGAATATTGTACGATATATTCCGTAACAAATTCATTAGTAAAAGGACGTCCCATTGAAGCGATTTTACGTACAGTGCTCTTATAGCCCAAATCAATGGTTAGGAAGTGATTGTAAGTATTTTCAACTGGAGTCCATGCCGAATTACCTTTAGTGATTTTGTTGGTAGTTTTATGTGGGTGAGTAGTAGTAGTGGTAGTTGATAGGTAGTTTTGGTGATTGGATGGGCAAATAAATGGTTTTTAAAGAGAATTGTCGATTAGGTTGGATAATTATGGTTAATAAGGAAACAAATGTCGATGTAATGAAGTTGTTAATTACTTTGCGACTATTATACTATACTAAAGCCACTACATAATGAATAAGAGCAAAGAAAAAAATAAATAAATATTAAATATTAAATTAACAAATTACATAAAAAGCGAAAAATTGATTAAACAAAAATTTAAAAGAAATTAAATAAATTAATAAAGCGGTGCACAATAGAAAATATATATATATATATATATGATTTTTTATTTTGTTATATATGTTTTAGTTTTTGATCCTTTGACCCGTTTTTGTTGTTGTAACTTTAAACCTGTACCACACTCAAATTGTTTTGCTTACCTTAATGTTACCACCGGGCTCTTTATAATCGGCAAATTCTAAATCGCTGATACCATAGCTAATGGCATATTCGGTGACAAACTCATTGCTATGCGGTCGTCCTTGCAATGCAATGTGTGTAACATTTTTAACTTCCCCCAGATCAATGATTAAACGTTGATCAAAATCCGAATTTTTTGCCGACCATGATGTACCAGCTTTAATTTTTTTTTTAGAAAAAAAGGAAAAAATTAATAAAATAAAAAATTTAAATTATAAAAGAAAAAATAATAAATTTTTATAATAACTGGCGGCATAGTGGGAAAAATTATTGCAAACTTTAAACTATAATTTACATCCCGACTTGTAATGCAAGTGAGGGGCAGGGTGCTTAATGGGCTAACAAATCCTTCTGTCGAACTTTTTGCCGAGGTTGTGTAGTAACGAATTTTATATTTACTTTGTATAAGCACAGTGTAGACAATTTTTCATGACATTGTTTAAGATATCAAAATCGGTTGTACATTTTGTATTATTATATATTAGAAAATCCATTCAAACCCATTTTTAATTTATCCATATTTCCATATTTAATTTCATTTTCAAAGAAAGGATGACGAAACATCAATCATAAACAAAAATCATAATTCATTTAAGGGATCCAATTTGATCAGACAATGAAAGACACATTTTCAACACATTTATGAGTTAATGAAGCTAATCAATTATAATGTGTCCTTCCCATGACAAACGAACGTACGTGGGTGGGTTGGTGTGTGTGTGAGGCTAGGGATAGAATAAGTAACAAAAATTGGCACTCTAATTTGTTCCGGTCAATTGTGTGATATTTACGATGCCTAAACACGCCAACGACCACGACAACGGCAGGACCACATTGTCCATTATGAAAGGTTCTGGGAGGGTGTTTATCCCAACTAGCAGCAGCATGTCCAGACACAAAATTCAACACTTTTAAGCAATTTCAATCACAATAAAACGTGACCAAACAAAAGACAACAAAATGGACAAAATAAAGCTGAAATGCTTAGACAAATAAATAAACTGTCACACTCTTGAAGGATGAGTTGTATTTGATCGATGGCCAGTTGGCCGATTGTTCCACTTCTCTTGATGGGTCAAGGTGAAGTTAACAATTTAAAATTAATTACCTTTGATATTATCTCAAAAAGCAGGCGGCGGTGCTAAATTTTATGGTGAGTAATTTTGAAATGTTATCTAAAATCTCCACCCACCACACACACACAAATATCGTCCTGTCTGACTGACTGAAAAGTAAAGCAAATAATAAAGGACACTTCTCCTCCTTGCCCTTCATTGTGTAATGGGACACATGCACTTTATAGCTTGTTAACCAGAGGGTCGGCTGCACTCGAACATACATACTTGTTGTTGCTTGGGGTGGTTGACTGTTTTCTTTCTTTTTTCAACCCTCCATTTTATAACATTAAAGGGGATTGAATTCAGGGTCGAATGGGTCGAATGTCCACAGATTGTATGGTTCGTCAGACATACTCCTCGAAACCAAACAATGATTTAAACTACAATTGAAAAAAAAACAAACTGCATAACAAATTAAAAGAAACCCAGGCAACCAATGTCCTTGTGCTTTGTTTGTGTAGTTATGGGACCAACAGCTGTTTAGTTATAAGTGCAAATCGCAGGAGGCAAAAAACAATTCATTAGTTGAATACATTAATATTTTCTACGGGGATTTTTAATTATGCACGAATTGATTTGTAAATGGAAAGCCAAAAAAAGCATGTCCGAATTCAATGGAGTTTGACTACGAAGCTTCTAGTAGGTAAATCTCAATTCTTAGAAGCGAATAGACTTTAGAACTATGATGTCCTTTTTACCCCAAAGAGCCATAAGCGATTCCAAAAACTTCATTACATAAATTACTCCAATGTATCGAAATATCAAAGATATCGAAAAAAAAAAAAATAAATAAAAAAGGCGTCTATAATATTCATGCTGGAAATTTTGAAAAATTATATTTCAAATAGTTTCTCGTTGAAATTGCATTTATTTGTAATTTAATACTGCTATCAACATAATATTAATTACTACCTATTTTACGAACAACCCTCGCATCTTTAATTTGTATGTTGTAGAAAAGAACACAATAAAAATTGATTTGCTTTAGATCGGTACGAAGAAAGGGGTGTGAAAGTAAAATGGCCACAAACGTAAATGTGCACCTTTAAACGAATAAATAAAAAAGAGGGTAAACAACATTAATTTTTGGGAATCTACATAACTGCAGGCAAACAAACCGCCAAGAATTTATGTAAGGGCTGGCCACAAACCACACACACAAAGAAGGTGTATTTGTGCCAACGATTTATGACAACAATGGTAATTTTAACGCTGCTTATTTTTTACGCAAAATAAACCACTGAACATTACAAAAAAAAAAAAACAAAAACGTTTAAAAGTGACATTTCAAAGAAAAGCATAACTGGTTAACTTGAATAATACCCATTCTACCAGGTGGTAGATAAAAAGGGGGTTATACTAAATGAGGCATAAAAATGCTTTATTTTTTAGGAAGCCCCTGGTACGGCACTATTCTTTTTTGTTCGTAACATATATAAGAAGCTTGTGCGATTGTTATTAGAAATTATTTGTTCTGTTTATTTGAACTTTTATAGATCCCCTTAATTACAAAGTCAGACCTTTTAAGTACAAAAGAAAGTGGGATGTATTAAAAAAAACGATGATTCTGACATGGGAAAATAATATACATATGTGAAATTTTACAATCTTATTTAAAAATGTTTGCCGATTTCATTAATTGTTTATAAATAAGAAAATAATGAGCAGAGGGGAAGAATGTGTCATGCTGTGCAAGAGTTTGAATGTGATTGCGGGATATAAGAATCAATATACAATTTTTTCTAGAACAGACGGTTCCCGTATTCAAATTTTTGAAATTTGTTGGCCTTACTACTGCTTAGAAGATACAAAGGGCCAATAGATTTAATCTATCCGCTAGAAAAAATAGACATATAGCCTTCGTTATTTCATAACCTCAAAGGATAGTCAATATTATTGATATAAATACTTAAAAGAATTTATTCATTTATTCATTTTTCAAAACATGGCCTGTAATATCCACTTCTGACATTGTTTTAGCCTCTATTATTTCATAATTTGAATATGTGATAGAGAAGTAGTTAAGTGTTTTTCAGACATTTCCTCCCCATATATAAATTCGAAAAGAATAAATTTTACTTAATAAAAAAGTTTGTTTATTAACATTTTGAGTATTACAACAATCAATTAAAAAATAAACAAGTATATTGCTATAGTGATAATGTACAAATGTTTACATTTTCGTTGTATGAGTATGTATGTTGTATTGCATATAACTGCAATGTTGGATTTATGCAAATGTTGAACCCCTCTTCTAACATTACTATCTTTTAACAAAGTTTCGTTCTTTTAGGATTGATTTTTCGAACATATCTTCGGTTTTTTATATAGCTTAGTAACCGTTTATAAAACAAATACAATATAAATAACTTCACCGACTATATAGAATCCGACTTTGTCAATGCTAGTAAGACAAAGCATTTTTAACCCCTATTTAATATTCTTGAGTCATTTCATAGGCTTCTTTAAAACATCTCTGCAGAATTCAAGAATATCAGCTTTATCATGTTCACTAGGAGGCTCTCTCAGCAAGTCATCTATTTTCAGAAATTGGAATTTTTCCACCGTCTCCGGTTTGTAATTTCGAAATGCAATTGCTGCACAGTACTTGGGATGTAACATATGCTCCTCAAAATACCAATTTGGCATTGACACATCATAACATTTTAAAATTGTACCAGTCAATGGTGAAGATTCTTCGGTCAAGTCATTCGTAGTGTCAACTGTAAATGCTATCTTTTGCAAATCAATTGTAATCCCTACACCCAATTCTTTAACATATGACTCCTTTAAACTCCAATGGCGCATAAAGGCTTTCAGCTGTTGTTGTTCGTTGAAATGTGACTGGGTTATAAAACGCCATTCCGAATCGGCAAATTTACGATTCATAATGCGAAAAAATTCTTTCAATTCTTTGCCACCAGAATATTCCAATTTCATGACATCACAACCAATGCCAAAATCATCATCATCGTTGTCGTCATCATTGTTTATGGTGGTGCCACAATTTGAACTGAGTTCGTCGTGCATCCCCGCCAATATAACAAAACTACCTTGATGTGATACATTAAAACTTAATTGTTGACGATGTTGAGATGATTGTTGTCCAGCTGCCTCAGTGGTCTGCACCCAATAAGGTTTCCCTCTCGCATCGCGTGCAAATTTAACCTCATGGTAGGGTAAATGTGTACACTGACTTACATATTTACGCATAAGTAAACGACCGACTAACGAGGAAAGAAAATCATTTAAAAAATAGAATTTCATTAAACGAACTCGTTCCTCCGTTTGTATTGCAGCCACGGCCTGTGTTAGTTGTGTTAAAGTGGGTGACCAAGTGCTTAAATCAAAGGCCCAACGGGTGGTTTGAATTTGTAGTTTTTTCGCAGACATGTTGTGTGTTTATTTATTTTGTTGGTGTTGTTTTGTTTTTTATAAAAGCTTTTATTCAAATAATAATGTTTTTGATAATAAAAAAGATATGTTTTAAACAAAAAAAAACTTTGGTGGAATGTTGTTGTTATTCGCAATGTTGTCTGATTGGAGTGTTTAGTCCAGCGAGAGAGAGCAAGAAAATTTGACAGTTGCAAAACAGTGCTGCCAACATTCCGTTGCAAATCAGATGTTTTGTTATTTATACGGTAATGGCAATTGAAGTGATTATTGAACACGTAACGTAAGGTTTTTCTACCCAAGGCGATGAATTTATTTATAGGAGGTATAAATTGTGCCATAAAAATAATGTTTTAAATAAAGAATACAATAAAAAAATACTAAGAAATAAAATTAACTAAAATAAAAACTCGATAAAATAAGAAGACTACAAATCAAACCTATGTCTATAAATTATATATTTTATTCTAAAAAATAAGGAGATTTAAAAATAAATAAAAAGCCATTGAAAGGAAATTTAACGATGATTTTGGTCGTATGTTTTTTGTCGTTTTCGGTCCAAAATCTTCATGAAGTCTGACCAAATGAGATTTAAAAAATTCTGATTTTAGCTAAATATTGATAACAAATGAAACATGTATTTAAAACGTTACATACAAATGCACAAATACATAATAGCATATGCCACAGTATGGCATTATGTATTCTGTCAAATTCCGAAAAATTCATTTTTCAATACTTTATCAATAAACCTCGTTTATATTTCAAAAGAAAATAGTCTAGGTGGGATTTATTTTTGAAAAAATATCATTGAATCTGCTATGATTCCATACAAATTTAGATTTTTCTTATTGAAAATTAATATGATCAAAATGTATCATTATTAAATCTCTCATTCCGTAAACTTCAACTTGAAATAATTCGACAATCCTAATAAAAAATAAAGCATAAACTACGTTTTAAAATTTTAAAATATCGTTAGCTAAAATGCAAAAAGGCTTAACTGACAAAAAAATTTAAAATTGACTTTTGGAATGAATATTGTGAATGTCAATAAACTACATGTGTTGACAAAGTTTTACACGTTTGCGGCCAAAAAAGGAGCTTCTATTAACAAAAAACAAAAAGACGTAACTACAAGTTGGTTTATTTGATAAATGCAAAAAGGCGTAACTAACAAAAAATTCACGTTTTTACTTGTTATGACTGCCATTAAACTAAATAACTAAATTTGTTAAAAAAATTATAGTCTATTATTCGTCATATGCAATATCACCCTGCCGGGCATACTTTTTTTGACATGTTTATAGTTTTCATTCAAAACAGTTTTTTGCTTCTCCTACACAATTATGCTTTTGTTAGTTACGCCTTTTTGCATTTTAGCTGACGATATGTAAATCTACATTTAGCGGCTATGTGTATTTAAAAAAAGTATCGACGTAGTAATAAAGAAATCTAACATTTGAAAAAAAAATTAAATAAAAAACTTTACATCAAACACTTTGATATTAATGAATCATTAATTAAAATGATACAAATCAGAATATAATATCAAAAATAAATAAATAAATCATAAATATAAACAAAAAATTTGGATTTAATAAAAATCAATTACAAAAGCAATTCTAATTCGCAATGTAATTAATTTGGGAAACAAATTAAAGATTTCCACTTACCATTTAAACGAGCCTTTTCCGGTCCACGATCGTTTAGGGCTGATGTGGCCGATAAACTGGCCTTTTCCATAAGCGGTGTGTTACATTCATAATCGGAAAAGTAATCACTGTATGAGTCTGCAATCATAAAAAGAAAACAATTTCAATGATAAATTATGATAATTTGAATTGAAAGAAATTTCTTTATAAATTAGAAAATAAAAACAATAACTTTTATTCTGGAAATTTAAAATTGAAATGAAAACAAAAACAAATATGTGATGTGAAATAATTTATTATTATTGGCAGGTTTTCACAAGTTTTGCCATTAATTTTCACTAATTTCTCTCAAACTACAATTAAAAAACCTCTTGTTGTTGTTGCTGCTCTTATCCTTCGTAATATTCCAAAAACAAAAAAGTAGCCAAAAGACATATGTGTTTCGTCATCTACATACATCAATATTATTTGTTGTTGTTTTTTTTTTTTTTTTTTTTTTTGTAGAGTAGCAGCTAGCCACCACAGAGATGGCGATAGTAGGGGTTGTGTGATGATGTTGGAATGGTATCGACGTCATTGAGACTCATTTGGCGGCCGCATCATTCGTTCTAAAAATGATTCTGCCCATACACTTCTTTGTCGAATGGCTTCGAACAAAGTACTTCTGTCAAATTCGCCCAATCGTTCCATATGTAGTTCAATGATTTGTTTATGTTTTCGCATTTTGTACCATTGCGCTGGGAGGAGATGTGCTTGCTGCTACTTATTTTTTTATTTTATTTTTATTGTTATTTCAATAAGCTTCCTTGTCAGAGATGTCATGTTTTTTTTTTCTTTAGGAGCTCACTGCGAAAATGTATTTAAAGGTGAAAAATGAAGAAGAAAATACAGATGGGTGTATTTTTGTGTGGGCATGCATGGAAAAGGTGGTGAAATGGTTATATACACAGTAGTTCTTTTGTTGTTGTTGTATTAAATATTAATGGATATACCCACAACAAATTCTTGATGAGATCGTAAATTTTGACAATTGTCATATTTTGTTGGCATGGAAATGATTTCAAATTAATTTGCAAAGAAGTATGTATATTTTTTCCACCAATTTCACAAATTTCAAAAATCCATAACAAAATTATGTTCAATTAATTCTCGTCCTACCTTACAAAAAGACTGATTAGCATATCGTCCTCTCTATAAAAAATTCTCTCTATACCAAATCCCTCCACTAAAAATTATAAAAATGTGTCCACTTTTTTCGGTCCCATATAACAGTACTGCCAAATTTTCAGTAATTTGAAGGTTTTGGGCACGTTTTTCAACCGAATTCGCTGTAATTTGGTATTTTGTAGTCGTAACAAATCTCCCTCCAAAAATTGTTTAAATTTGCCCAATGTTGAGGTTAACTAGCCCAATATAACTAAATTATGCATAGCACCTAATATATTGATAACTCCAAATGTTCGGTATTTCCTGCAGTAAGTAATCAATATTGGCCCTTCTTTAGGCATAGCCTCCAACAAACACGTACGCATACAAACATTTTTTTTTAGTAAATTTTTTTTATTGAACCAGCCACCACCCCATTCACCGAAATAAAATCCTGTGTACATTGGTGAAGGCCTCATATAAATTTGACCTCTAAATTGAAGTATTTTAAGTATTTTATACACTTGTTCCATCCTACCACGCTTTGTCAATATCGACCCAAGTTTTGGGGTTTTGAGATTTTAGCAAAAATCTCCATTACAAACTGCTGATTTTTTTTTTTTTTTTTTTTTTTTTTTGTAAATTATCGTTTGCAACGATCGCTTGGTACAGTTGTCGGTATAGGTCCACTTTTTGTAATGTTGGTCGAAAATAGGCGATTTTTCAAAAAATAATTTTCCTAGCTTAGCCACAACAGAACCAGCTACGAAGCCTTGTGGTCGCCGTCGTAAAGAGGGCCTTTTCTTTAATTTCAAATAACAACAACATTATGTTTGCTTAGTGGACAATCCCTGCTCGAGTCGAACTTGGATCATTGCAGAACGTAGATCCGATTGCAAACAACACAGAATAATGCACTTCGAATTGTGTCCAGATGACGAGCGTCGATCACCTGCATGAATAGACCAGGATGCTGTCAGTCAAGCAACATAATGTGATGTTGACTAGACAGTTCCTGCTGGACCGCTATCTGCTTGTGTCATCCCAACCATCATACAGTGATGGCAGATCCACCTCCGCGACTCTTCCGCCACGACTTCAGGTGCTAGCGTGATGGCATACAAGACATCATTCCATCGGACGTCAACAGATTGTCGATAATTACTTAATATATTTTTTTGCTTCTTCCGTTTTCAACATCTTCAGGAGAGAACTTTCATTAACAGCCAACCTGTTACAACAACAACATTATTTATATCGTAGTAAAAAAATTTACATTCTTGCAGAATACTGAGATAAATTTCATTTTCCTTTAGTCGTAATATAATTTGATTTATTTGTTTACTATATTTAATGACCATATGAAAATAAAACAAAACAATGTGGTGTAGCGGAAGTTGATTTCTTATGCCAAATCTATTAAGCGGTGAAAAATAATCAACCCCTTTTCTTTATATTGCATACATGTGTAAAGCTAACATGAAAAAAAAACTGGTAATTAGTTCTGCTTTTTATGCGAAAATTGTCCTATTTAGCAACAAAGTCAGAGTTGTGCGTGTTTTGTCGAGGCATGAAGTTTTCGTGACTAGCACTAACATAGACATCAACAGCAATGTGTGCTTACTTACTACTGGCCATGTACAAACAAATAAAGTAATAAGAATCAGGACGACGACATAAAAAATAGAGTTCCTTGAATCTTTGAACTTTTGCTCTAGATCTCCAATGGTTGTTGTTTCAAACAACGAAAAAAACAAAACAAAAGGGGGCGACGAAATTATCACACACACACCTCCTCCAATCCACCCTAACGACAACAGTAAACAACAACAACGAAAATAACAAACAAATTGAATTGATGTCTGGATTTATATAGAATTCAAGTAACCAAACCTAGTCTTTATCCATTACACGAATTGTTCGCTCGCTCCCTACTAAATCAGGAAGGCGACGAAAACATTTATATTTATTGTTTTTTTTTTTTCATTGTTCTACTTTGTGCCGCCACTCCACCACACTAGAGCATAAGTGTGTGCACACACTTGTAATTCTTTTTAAATCCTGTTTTGGAGTATTCATCAGGGGATAAGAAGAACCCAAAGGGTGGTTGGTTTTCACATAAAAATAGAAATTCACCCGCATTGCCAATTCTTCTTTTATTTGTTTTGTTTGTTTAGCCAGTAAGTAGCCAAAGCCAACCAACATCACCTTATGTCAGTCAGCTAGCCAGCCAGCCAGCCAGCCAACCAGTCAGTCTGTCATACAATTCAAGCATATTGGAGGGTTTTCGTCTCGCGCACACATCTCATATGTGGTGCATTCAAATCAAGGGTGGTTATGAAGCGTTTTTTCAAACAGCAATGCACAAAAAAAAGCAATGGCACAACCCACACACACACCAAATATAATTTTGTTCCAAAAAGGACAAACAAAAAATAACAGAGCTATATTTCAACATAGCATAGCTGCATTGTTAGCTTCTCAAACAACCAAATGTTTTTATGTTGAAAGTTTTCGGTTTATTATTGAATTTGTATCTCTAATGGCAACCATTATGCTGTTTGTTTGGTGCGTCAAAGATTTCTGTATTGTAGATTCGAATGGAAAATAAATGCAAACATTTTGTCAACTAATTTGTATTAGAATATTTGAAAATTCAAAATGAAAACTCCTGAACCCTGGAAAACAGTACGGGTGGTTCAGTTACCGAATTCAATGGAAGAGACTTTGAAGTTATGACTCTTTAAGAAATACCTTTTCAATATGGTTCGCCAATATTTTTGAAAGCAGACAGAATACAACCGCGCAATTGACAATTGCAGCCCATGGCCTCAGTGGACCATTTACATGAATGAAAATTGCAGTAATTGTTTTGGGAATAATATAAAAAAGATCATCCAGGTTCTTCATCAATGAGCCTGCACAAGATCTTTCCCAAAAGTATTAATATAAAACGAAACAAGGAAAAGAAAAATGTTATAACTTTTATTAATTAGGATTTGAAGAGAGTAGCCGGAGAAACTGTGCCACCTCTAAGGGCTTTAGCCATAAGTCTATAGGCAATAGACTTGTAGGCCCGGACGGACAATTGAATAGATGGTGTGTGTGTCGTGAAGGCTTTGCTGGCTGGGGGTGCACCTATTCCGGGGACAATGCTCTCCCGATAGCACATTGCTGTACCCGGACCTTAGTTGTGCTAAAATCGAACGGGTTTGCGTAAGGTGAAATCTCTCAATGCCCGAAATTGCAGGATGATGTTGGAGTAGGAGGCATTTATGACTACGGAGACCGCCAGTTGATGCACGGATTTCATCGCGTTCGCTATCGACAATCTGTTAACATCCGATGGAATGACGTACTGGATACCATCACGATAGTCCCTGAAGTCCTGTCGGATGTGTCGCGGAGGTGGATCTTCCATCACTTTGTGATGGTTAGGATGACACGGCAGATAGCATGCCAGCATGATCTATATAGTCAACATCACATTATGTTGCTTGACTGACAGGTCAAGTCTCCTCATGTAAGCGATCGACGCTTGGACACAACCGGTTGCAATTCGGAGTACATTATTTTGACTTGATTGCAAGGATCTCCATTGTGTGGCGCAAAGGAAGTCCAGACTGGGGCAGCATAATTGCAGATGGAACGACCTACGGTTTTGTATGTCGTTACCAACGTTTTTTTATCCTTGCCCCAGGAGGTGCCAGCCAAAGCTTTCAGAAATTTATTCCTAGCTTTCACCTTCTGGTTAATGTAGTTAGAATGCAAGGATAAATTAATGAGGTTCTCGAAAACCACCCCAATAATTTTCGGATTATGGACGATGGTGAAGCGCCTACCTTCAATGGAAATGTCGAGTTCTAAAGAAGAGAAAAGAGTCACAGTAGATTTTGCAGTTGATAATTTTAGATAGCGCTCCCGGAAGAAGTTTGTGATGGTGGATAAATAGTTGCAAATTTTCACACTTACATCGACAATGTTAACGCCAGACGAAAAATT